CTGCCATCAAATTTGTTCACTTTATTCGCCAATATCGCATCTCGTATAATATCCCAAAATACTGGCTTGTAATCAGCATTAATTAATCCTTCTAAGAAAACAAATACTCTCAAATATGATGCGTCTTTTAATAAATTTGGCTGCTCGAAACATTTTGCTGCTAAATATTCTAGAAAGGGTATATGAGCGTAATTTAGCTCATTCAAATTTTTCAGCAAATAGATACTATTGTCAAAAGGAATTTCTGCAGATAATGCTGAATTGACAAAAGCATCCACCAGTGCTTCATTGTAAAACTTGCATCCATATTCTTTGCTGCAATAATAATATAATGTTAATATTTTATTTTCACAATGCCAAATATTAATATGAGAATCTTATAAAGATGACATACTTCCTTGCAGTGACCAGTATTAATTTATATAGTGCACTTATTATCTCTTGAATACTTAATTGCTTTGCATCACTTATTAAAGTCTTCTGAATGTTAAATAGCAATTCAAAAGCCATTGGAGATGGATAAGAGGCAACACATAAGCTACAAAATATAGACCAAGCTGTTTGTACATCCAGGTCTTTTTCAAATTTTTGTAATGACTTCAGTATTGTATTTTGTATTTTTGGATTATTAATACTACTTTCACATATAAATCTTAGTGATTGTGTCAACATAAAAATGTTATCTGGATCTAATTTTGTAGGTAACTGTGCTTCAAAAACGACAGGCAGCGCTATCAATAAAGCATCTCTCAATGGTGTACTATCCATTTTCTTCAGTATCACAATTATGTTGATCGTATCCTGAAGCGATATCTCATTTACGTTTGCACGAATCATTTGCAATAATGACTGAGTTAAAACACAGTTGGCTGAAATCTTAAAATATATCAACATTCTCAAACTAATAATAATTTCGTTGATTTTCATAAGTCTAATATTTTTATTTAACACTTCGCACAGGCGCATAAAGCCTATATGCTGTTTAATATTTTGCAAATCTTTTACATCCTCTTCCAGGTTTTTAGGAGCTTTAAATAATGCAAATATTGCATCAACAGCATTGTGTACAGTCATATTTGTATAATTTCTTGCTACCTTCTCCAATATTTCCATATACTTATATGGCTTGAAATCAATGGATACATAATTTTTTTCTATTGGTGATATACAATCCTCCAGCTGTGTACGATCTAAAAAACATACGTTCTGTTGAAATATTATGTTTATATTACAAATGTATGTAAAATATTAGATTACCTGTCAAACTGGTATTATAAACTCTTGATACTTTTTGTATCGTTTGTAATGGTACTATATAATTCGACAGGACTGTCCAATTGCGTGCTATTGGATATAATCGCAGAAGTCCTTTTAAAGTCCCGTTCATTTTGCTGATAAATAAAGCTGTTATTGCATTGTGACAGTAATTATTTAAAAAATTAAAAAATATTAATTTTTTAATATGGCACATTTAGAGTATGATCTATTTCGTAAAGGAGCCTCTAGAAGATATATGATCAATGTTTGCCAATGTTGGTTAATGCAATGATAACCAATGCTAGGTCAATGTTGACCATATATAAATATGCAGTACGACACATATGCATAGTTTGCTATATGAATAAGGCTATGCATTTAAAGAATGTGATAACGTTGGAAAAGATGGATAGTATAAAGATTTGGGTACTTATCATGGAAAAAGTTAGAATAGATTCCGATCAGAATTATTCAATTGTTCCCTAGATTTCTATTGTGTTTTCTAGAGAAAACAGAATAATTCCGATTGGAATTCATTCCGACATGTTCCATGATAGGTACCTTGAAGAAGTAATTGCAGGAACTGTCGCAGTTATTTCTTATGTATAAGTTTTATGTAATAAAAAGAGAAAAAAGCAAAAAAAAAATGGTAAACGACATCTTTAAATTGAAGCAGATAAAGATTTTATTATATACATAATATACTTTTATAATTTCTTATCTATTTTTAATCTCTATTTATTCTTAATTATTTCAATTTTTAGTCGTTTAGAATTTTGTTCTGTATCGTTTTCCTTTATATTTATATCTCATTATTTGAATAACTTAAATAAATGAACTTTTATCTTAAAAGAAGTAGCTGCACAAGTAGCTTATTTGAAGGAGAAACCTCATAAATGTTATCAAACTTTTACCTCATTTATCAAATATAAAAACTATATTTTTTTCAAATTTAAGGCCAATTGTTCCATCTTTTGATAAAGTTTATCTGTTAATCTAGCAATCCGCGCACAGGGTTGGCAAACGTTACTTTTCAGTTACTTTGTCGTTACTTTTTATAGTAAACAATTTGATGACGATGTTGCAATTTTTTATGACGATAACGCTAACTAACTAAACACTAAGGTTGTACTAAAGTTAGAAAAGTCACTTTGAAAAGTAACTTGTCACTATTATGCGTTACACCGAAAAAATTATAAGTATAACGAGTAACGCGTTACAAATTAGGAGTTATTTTTTTCAGTAACGAATGACTTTTTCAATCCATTATAAGTAACGATTGACTTTTCTAACTCTGATGTTAGCATTACCATCATAAAAAATTCACAATGTCATTATCAAATTGTTATTATAACAAGGTAACGATCAACAAAGTAGTAAGGCGTTACAAGTAACGCGTTACTTGCCAACCTTGGTGATTGGATAATCTTACTAGTTACCCTTAATGATACAAATTTAATAATGAATAGGTGAAAAAAAATATATTCCGGAAAATTTGAAAATTTCTACAGAATGTCTGGATTTGATTTTGAAAATCTATTACATAAAATTGCCCTGATGGAAATTTTCTCTGGGAATTGTAATAAATGACGAAATAATACTGCAATTGTAACTGAAATTATAATCTTACAATACAACTTCGTGTGTTAAAGCATTCGTACTAATTATGAATGAATTATGAATAACCGGTGTATAATCATTAATTGAAGGTAAAAGGTTAGAAGCACTTAAATGTCGTTTGAGTACTTACGCAGTCGCTAGTCTCTATTTTGTACTGTGAAAAATTTTGAACGATACTAGTGGCGTTACAGACACAATGCAGAATTGTTAACTAGATAACTTGTTATTTTTAAATTATACATAAACATACTTCAAGTATAATAACTACGTTTATGGTGCATGTTGTATGTACATACGTAGAGTCCTAGATTTATCAGGGGTGCGTTCCAAAATTCACTCCGAGTAACTCTAAAGAACCCGGAGTAGTGGGGGAAAGAGTAAGTCAGAGTACGTTACTCGAGTTGACAAATTTGAAACGTGAAAGGGTAAGGTAATATTATATATACATAATAAAGTATGAGTATCCATGCTGCTAAATTGTTATTACTGGTATTATACAGAAAGCCCTGATTACTTGTTCGTTAACAGTAGATATATATGCTTCACAATTATCATTTTTTGCAATGTTTCTTGAATGTAAGAACATAATATTGCAATCGTATCTGCAATTATACAATATCTTATCTTGAAACATTTCTGTTTTAATTTACAAACAAGCAATCACAAATGACTTTAAAATTACTTCATTTCAAACAGTTGGAATACTCCATAGAATAAACCATATGAAATTCTTCTACGTATCATACAGAATTATTTATCTGAATAATGCAATAATATTTTTTTAAATTTCAGGAATAATTTTATCGAGAATCTTTACCATCGAGTAAAGTTTTACTCCGTTAACAGCAGTGCAAATTAAGAGGTTATGGTGATACGCAAAAGCGATTATAATGACAATTAATCAACTGACTTATTAATACATAAATATTCCCTCCAAAGAATTGATACGATTCATTTAAATATAATTTTATATTACTTTATCTTATCTTATTTGACAGTTCAAAGGCAGTTTTATAGCATGTCAGCCATGTTTAGTACCCTCTATAAAATTACTAAAATTGACTAGTGTCCCTAGAAGGTAGAGTTTGGTCGCACACCGTGATTATTTTCATTGGTCAATCTCAAAACTCCCTCACAATGGCGTAACCAATCACACAGTACAGAAATCGCGCTTATATATGTATATAGATTACAATCTGCTTAAAATATGAAGGCTATGAACGCTTCGAAATATTTGTAGCCTAATCCAGACAGTACACAATATTTATAAAATCTTTTTTTCAATATTTCTTGGCAGACAATGCATTGAATGACCCGTTTTCCATGAGTTGAAACGCTTCAATACGCAACAGTAAGGCATTTTATGTATTCTGTAAATAATGTATATTGGATAATAAAATTCCTTTTATGATTAATATATTGTGATGTTATTATTTGCTAAGTTAGGAAGCTACTTACGGATTTTACACTTCTACAACAAATGTGAAATTGACGAGTCGCAACACGATAATAATTTAACTTACCATGTGTTCGACTGTCCTTGTGTTCTTTATTAATGTCCATTAAAAAGGTATACGTATGTCCGCGATATGTATTTAGAGAAAGACGTGATCTTCACCACTTATCACACATGATCCCCACCTTACTGATGCCATTTTGAGGGATATGTGGCTAGACTCTACCTTCTAGGGACACTAATATTAGGGTCTTATTTGTAAAAATTGAAATGTGTAAAAAAATTATAATTAATTACTTTATACGCTTTTTATTAACTTAAAAGTAATTTAAAGTGATATTAATAATAGGATTTTTTATTAAAAACGATTAAAAGTGCTTAAAAAATGAGTGGGGAGTGAACGCAATATGATTGGCCGTGACGTCACGATTCAGCAGAGCCCGGTAAGTTTAAACGTTGTAAATACATACTTCATGTAAATGACACATACATAAGATATATAAACAAAACAAATGTGATATTTAACGGATCATGCGAATTACTAAGGGTGCGTTCCGTTTCTTGCATGATGCGCATAATGCATCTTTTATCCTTGTTATTCACCGAATGTTAAACAAGGATAAATGATGCATTATGCACATCATGCAAGAAACGGAACGCACCCTAAGTAATCAGTTACAACATGGCGAGAAATATTACAGGTTTTGTTAAAGCTCAATCGGATAATTTACCAAAATTAAACGTTTTAATGGTTGCTGACTTTTTTAGTGAAAATGAATTTTTTAACGTGGCAGAGACAAGAGGTGTTAAAGCTAAAAGGTGTTTACACACTTTACATACATTCAATATATATAAAAGTTTAATATAGTTCCACAATCAATATCTGTATTTTACAGGGCTGAAGATAAAGATTATGGTGATGCAGCTGTGGGATACGTTGAAGTAAAACGTGAAGGTAATTTCTGCCAAGTCCGAGGGAAAATATGTCCTGAACATAGAGTAAATAATAAACCTTACTCTGTATCGATGCTTGTTAACGAAGAGATAGACAAGGTCGAATATGTTCGATGCGAAGACTGTGCAGCTGTAAGTATTACTGACGATCTGTAAGTATTACATTATTTATTATATTCACATATAATGTAATTCGATAATATTAATTTTTATTTGAATGATACCAATATTAATAACATTAATGTTGCTTGCATCTGATGTTTCTCGATGAGGCTGGCAAGCAAATTTTGTCGGCATAACTCCATTCTTTAAGCGAATGAGTACGTTTGGAATGAACCTGACTTGCATGTAATTTTCAACATCCTCCTCTAACTGCAAACATAAAATCAATTTATTTTGAATTATTTAGGATTAATTTATTATATTTTAGGTATATGACTTACATTGAAATGGTGTTCACAACAAAACAAACTACTAGTCAGCGATATAGTTGAAGCATCAGTTCGGCCTGAGATTTCGAACCATTTTCTTCGAATCTCTCCTTTTGGCACTGACAGGAAAATTGTTGATGGAGAACAGATATTGTTTTGAGTGCATGAAGGCACAAAACACCACTTGTAATTTCTTTTTTTCTCTGCCATTACTCGTTTCTGCAAATTTTCTGCCATTTCACATCGGTTTATGTAAATTTTAAATCAACTGTCAACAACAGCTGTCACCGACCTAACCTAACTTATTTTAATAAAATAGTGAATATTTAGTCATAAAAAAATTATATTTATAGATTTAAATTATCTGCATTGTTCATAAGATCCATTTATCAATATTAGCAATACTCATTTACGGCCAAAAAATTATTAAAAATTATTAAAAAACAGAGGAGCGAAAAGAAAGTGTGATTGGCTTATAGCGTGTGACGTCACGATTCAGCAGGATATGGCGCGAATAAATGAGCGTTCAAAACATACGTGATTTTTAACTTATTAAAAAAAATTATTGATTGATTTTTAGTAACTTTTGTTATTGTAACTTTTGTTTTTACGGGTAGAAGCATTGTTTTAGATAAAAAGAAAATATTCGAGGAAGACCCTTTTCCGATTGGGGTGCACTGGCTGCACTCAGTAGGTCTGTTCGCGTTGCATGAAATCCCCAAATATTTTTGCACTTAAAATGAGATAGATATATATTTGGCCTTGAAAAGAGAGAAAGCGAAGATGCCGAGTGTCAAAAGTGCAAGCAACGCGAACAGACCCAGTATCAAGAGCGTGTTCGATTGGCAGTGCCAATTCGCACTTGGCTAGTGTCACGTGTTGATATGACCACACGACACTCGCGTAGTGTGCACTCAGTGCACTAAGTGGCACGAGATATTTTGACGGTGCCAGTTCAGTGCACTGGATACATATATATATATATATATAGGATATCAGTGCATCACAGTATAAAAGGATATACAGTAGGACAAGCAAATCTGTAATTTGTAGCATGCAAATGTACAATTATTGATAAGTATGTACATATATGATATTCTTGATATCTTATATATTATTTAATTACATATGGTAAAAAATCATTACTGATGAACATGAGATGTCGAGGTTATTTTTCTGCGTTCTTCCTGCAGTCTAGTCAAGTCCTTACAATCTTACAACATGGCACTTCAGCTTTAGCACTGAAAATCTTGGCGTGTTCTTTTGAACTTGCACTATTCAGTGCAACCTATGGAACTCATCTAGTATTGGTGTGAACTGAGTGCGCACTGGTGCGCACTAACTTTTTCCCAATCGAAAACTATAAAATTGACTTTGCGCGACCTCTAATTCGGTTGAGTGTGTTGAAATAGCGAATAACGTTACCCATCTATGGTTTGGTTATCATTTTTCCATTCAATGACGTAGAGTTGCCATATTTTTTCTGCGGATGCCTACTAGTTAGGGGGGTCAATCGAATTGTTGGTGTTCGGAGATGGCTGTACAAGATGGTTTGTGATAACCAAATGGTGCGCGTAATGAACGATTGAAGAAGAGATCGAAAACAGGGCGCGTCATTTCGACAGGTACACAGTATCGATGTAACGGTTGCTTGGAAGATTATCCCGGTGAGAGATAAGCCCTTCGCTCGAAACAGCTTGTGCGATAAACGAAAACTTTACGTCACGAGTTTATTCGCGAATGGCACTGTGGTTGTGGTGTGCCATTGACGAGGTTATAAACCTGAAATTTAGGACGATACGCGACAAGGAATCTTATGTCCGTAAACGTTTGACGACAGCGTTGTATCGCGCCGTGCATTTCGTTCATTTCACATTTCACGTCATTCCTTTATTACGATTTTCTTACAGTCCACATTCCATTCGCGAATGCAGTGTCCATCTCGATGCACTATTTTTACCCTCGTACTTTTTTATTCGGATGCGTTTCTCTTGTTGCGCGTTTTCGCCGAATATTTCATCTATCTTTGTAACAGTTACGTAATTTTCAATTTTGTGAATGATCCAGATACGTATAATCGAGAATGAAATTAATGAAACTGGAGTTTCGCGCATTTAAGCGTACCGATAATTTTATTTGTTAAACGACAAAGGTAAAGAGGATGAAAGGAAAGATTCATTTTGTTTCATATTTTTTTAATGTGTCGACTGATTGATTTCTTTGAAACTTTACCATTTCTTCCAGAAGCTCAATATTATTGAACTAGGATTATTAATGTTTTCAAGTTATTTGGATGATGGGAACATCTTTACGAAGGAAAGAGTTTACACTTTTAAATTTATTTTTATCTATTTGCTCCTAGCTATTTTCATTTTCCATTTTTTTCTACATGTGTATCTTTGTTTTCTTTTCAATACCTTTAATTATCTTTTTATCTTATTCCTTTTTGCTTCGTAATTTTTGATTTATGACAAAAATGCAGCTGTATAAAGATGAGAAATAGATTTGTTTTCAGTGGATTTATTTCGGGAAAATGTTAAAACCTTGTTATAATTAAAATATGTTATATATATGTCTGAAATTTGTATACAAGAGATCATTACGTTATACAACTGCAAATGTGAGAACCTTTAGAGAAATTATTTGTATTACAGGAATTTTAGCGAAATATAACAATGTCGTATAAGGAAGTAAAGACGAGTAACAATAGTGGAAATGTCATCTGTAGATTGTGGTAAAAAACAGCGTTATCTACAAGGCGACATGTCAGATTCGTCGCGATATCTTTATGGCCATCTTCCTCCCGACATTATGTCGAAAGGACTTTCCAACAATGGTAATATGATGCAACATACATATATATATATATCTCACGATACAATTTTACAAAAGATTGTAATTAGTATAAATTAGCTAATAAAAAACATATATATATATATACACGTTAAAGGCATATATCTATATGAGCATACACAAGTATAGCTATACTTGTCCATACAAATATATCCATATTGCAATGTAAGAAGCATTTTGCAATATGGATATATTTGTATGGACAAGTATGGATATACTTGTGTATGCTCATATAGATATGCGCCTTTAACATCTATATGTATATATATGTTTTTTTATTAGCTAATTTATATTATATTTATATATAAATGTTCTTTTTAGGCATAGGAGGAAAATTATGTCAACTTGAAGGCCTATTTATCGGTGATTCTGCTCCAAGTGGACGAGCCGGTCATACCGTTTCGATTGAGACACTTATTGATGTTTTGCTTGTGCTATACGACGAATGCTGCAATTCTTCGTTACGCCGTGAAAAGACTGTTTCCGATTTTATTGAGTTTGGTAAGGGATTGTTCCTTTTAAATCTCGGCGAGATGATAATTTTGTCTTGGTTCTTAAACCTCATCTGTATTTGGCTGTTGTATACACATAGGTATATACATATATCGATCACATTATTGGTTCTTTGCAGTGAAACCAATAACTTCATGCATCAAAAGCTTGCAATTGACACGAGAGGACTTTGAAATCGTCAAAGTCATTGGTAGAGGTGCTTTTGGGGAAGTATGCGTTGTAAGAATGCGCGGCTCGGACAAGGTATTTGCTATGAAAATTTTGAACAAATGGGAAATGTTAAAACGTGCCGAAACAGCGTGCTTTAGAGAAGAAAGGGACGTATTAGTGTATGGTGATCGCAGATGGATCACGAATCTGCATTATGCCTTTCAAGATGACAATAACTTGGTAATATCGCTTTACGTTGCACACTCTGGTAAAAAGTATTGACTAGCCTTCGTATCACTAATTGTGATGACTGATTGTATTGCTTTGTATTTTGTATCATGTTGCTACAGTATCTGGTCATGGATTACTATTGCGGAGGAGATTTGTTAACGTTACTGAGCAAATTCGAGGATCGCCTACCCGAGGATATGGCTCGATTTTACATAGCAGAAATGGTGCTAGCTATAGGTTCTATACATGACTTACGCTATGTACATCGTGACATAAAACCCGATAATGTTTTATTGGATGCGAATGGTCATATCAGATTAGCTGACTTCGGTTCTTGTTTACGACTGTTCGAGGATGGTACGGTGCAAAGTAATGTCGCTGTTGGTACACCGGACTACATTTCACCAGAGATATTGAGGGTAATACATTATTCTGCAGAATGGAGATATGTTACTTTGACCTTTCTTGCTCGTCGTTCGCATATGCGTAATGTTATATACTTTATCATATTTGCATTATCTTTTATATTTCACATTGTTAGGCAATGGAGGATGGTCAAGGACAATATGGTCCTGAATGCGATTGGTGGTCTCTTGGAGTGTGTATGTATGAAATGCTTTATGGCGAAACACCTTTTTATGCAGAATCTCTAGTCGAGACTTATGGAAAAATTATGAATCACAAGGTAAAACTTTAAAATTCCTATAGATTTTTTTTTTCATTAAAACAACATTTATTCATTGCTAATAATTGGAATTAACATTTTCTTTTCGTAGAATTGTTTTGATTTTCCTATGGACACTATGTATGATGTTTCTGAAGAAGCCAAAGATCTGATGCGGAAATTGATTTGCAGCTCTGAATTTAGACTAGGCCAAAATGGAATTGATGACTTTAAGGTAGTTTTCACTGTAATAATCATGACTGCATATTTTAAGATTTTATCCTATATGTTATTTTTGTTAAAAATGCAGAAACATCCATGGTTCGATGGAGTCGATTGGGATACGCTGAGAGATAGCACTGCGCCGTACATTCCTGAAGTTTCATCACCTAGTGACACGTCCAACTTTGACGTTGATGATACTGATGTTCGCACTTCCGATGCTGTTCCACCAGCCGCGAATTCTGCCTTTTCTGCGCTTCATTTACCATTTGTTGGTTTTAGTTTTACGCAAGGAAGGTATGTAACGTGTCTTTTCTTTCTGTTCTAATATTTATGCTATATAACCATACGCGGCGTGATGCTCACGAATATTCATGTTCCATTATTTCCTTGATTTTTATGTTACAAGAAGACGTAAAAGTCATATGATTCGAGTAACAATTAATATCGATAGAGATAAATAAAGCAGATATAATACTGCGAGAAATACCGCTTATTTGTATCTGAAATCTCTGTCGTTTTGTAAAAATTCTCGCAATATTATAGCCATCTCTTACAAAAAGAAATATTAGCTTTTTCATATATTTTGCGTCGCTTATATTACACTGATCTTGCTAGCCAGTCTGATCGAGAATTGATAGCGGATATATTTTGCTTGATGCAAATATCAATGTGAAACCAATCTTGGAAGCAGATAAAAGTTTATTGCTTTTTACGTAGCGATAATATCGTCGGCATTCGAAACGCCATTCACAAGGCACCATTCGTATCGTACTTTTGCTTATTGAGCAAAACTGATCGCCGTATTTACGACAAACCGTAGGACTGAATGGATGAATCGAGTCGGTTGTTGCGAATAGCGTTACTGTACGCCGAATTTGTCAATTTTTATCAGTAATATGCTTTATCTGCTTTATCTTCAGTTTTTAACATTACAGTTGCATATCGGATCTGGGTTGTATTTCTGCTCTATCTCAGACAGACAAACGTATACAGATACTCGAAGAAGAAAATACACGATTGGTACAAACTATTGATGATATGAAAAATCATTCGAGTATAAGTCATTCTTCGCCTGGTATCTCGCCAGATTCTAATAATGCGACCAGAAAACTACAAGATGAAATAAACACGCTCACAAAACGCAATTGTGGTAAAATTATAAATTTAAATTTCTGTAATTCGTGTATGTATGTGTTTGTGTTACAACATTGACGTAACATCTGCTTATTCTAGAATTGGAGTCACAGTTGAAATCTATGGATATTCCACGCGAATTACGAACTTTAGATAATGGTGACATGACGAAATTCCGGGAACTTGAGAAACTAGTTCGATGTCTACGCTCGGAGAAAGAAGAAGCCATCAAGGACAAGTTGGACGCGCAGGAGAAATTAAAGCTTCAAGACAAGGAGTTGAAGGATGCGCTCACGCAACGTAAACTCGCAATGACGGAATATACGGAAGTATCGGATAAATTATCCGAACTGCGGCAACAGAAGCAAAAATTATCGAGACAGGTTCGTGACAAAGAGGAAGAGTTAGAAGTTGCGATGCAGAAGGTCGATACTTTACGCCATGATATTCGGAAAGCTGAGAAACTGCGTAGAGAGTTAGAGAATAGAATCGATGAAGCGATGGCGGAGACGAGCAAAGAAAGGAAATTAAGGGAACGCAGCGAGGAATATTGCAAACAGATGCAAGAAGAGATGGAGAAGATCAGACAACGTTCTCTTGGAAATGATGCTAGTGCGAATCACGCTTTGGCCACTCAAGAAATTAATAGGTTAAAGGCGGAAGTTGAAAAGCTTGAGGTTCAATATAACGAAAACTTGACTCAACAACAAAGTAGATTTAACCTTGAAATTCGAAGTTTGCAAGAACAATTGCATGAAGCCGAAACTAGAAGAGAACTGTTGGAAAGAGAGGTGCAACTCACCAAGGAGAAATTGGATGCTGCAAGATTGGAAAATATCACCGATAGCGAAGAAACTATAAATGAGTTAAATAGACGTCATGACAGAGAAAGGATTATATTAGTTGAAGAAAATAAGAAGCTTGTGTTAGAACTCGGTGCCCTCACCGATAGCGTTAGTAGATTACAGGGTGAAAGAAGACAGTTGGAGGACGAATACGAAGAATTGAGGAACAAGAAAGAAGCTATAGCGCAGTGGGAAGCTCAAATTACCGAAATTATTCAGTGGGTATCGGATGAAAAAGATGCTCGTGGATATTTGCAGGTACATTAGCTCTTTGTTTCATCTTTGAATGTCTATTGTTTGTCGAGATATGACAACAACATATAGATTGAACAAATTTTTTATTAATTACTTAGCCTCTGTTCATAAAAGGAAATTATTATCTATTCTGATCTTAGGCCTTGGCTACAAAAATGACAGAAGAATTGGAATTCCTGAAACACTCTGGTGGAGTTGGTGGTGTTGGAAGTGGAACTACAATGACGGATAAAAATTGGCGAAATCGTCGATCGCAGAAGCTCGATAAGATGGAACTTTTGAATTTGCAGAGCTCCTTACAAAGTGAAATACAAGCGAAGCAAGCAATTTCAGAGGAACTCACCAAGACTCGTTCGGATTTGATAGCTGCACAAAAGTAATTTTCACTGAAGAATTGACGAAAAATAATATTGCGCCAGTTGCAAATAAAAAAGGATAAAGGCTTTGGCACATAAGAAAACTTAAGGCAGTAAAATGTAGGCAGTAAACTAACTAATCGGTCAATCACAGTAGAGGCGATAAACGAAAGTAGTAGTAAATTCAAAATATTGATTTGCTCACTGCTTATATCTTACCTCGTTTTTTTGTGTGCCATAATATTCACAGTATTTGAATACTTTTATTCTCGTCCTTTTATTTTTTTCCTTTTAGGGAATTGAGGGATTTCAAGCAGCGATTAGATACCATGTCGCATGAATTAAAGCGAAAAGATATGCAAGTAAAAGAGTTGCAAGCGCGTCTCGATACCGGGGATGGCTGTAAGTACACTTTAATTGACAATGTGGAAAGCAAGAAATGCACAAAAGTCCGTTCGTTATATCGCTATAGAAATATTGCGTCTACACTTGTTCTGCAAGTCGTAGCTATATACGTTACATATTTGATTTGTAGATGTGATCTTTATACAAGTATTGAATGTGTTTTAAATTCTAGTCTCATTATGAAGATTATACTGATAATTGTGTGTGAGTGTGTGTATGTGTGTGTGTGTGTGTGTGTGTGTGTGTGTGTAGACGCGCGCGCATATATAAAATATTTATAGGCTGAGGCTATCCTAATCTCAATGAAATTTCTTTATGATTATACTTGCACTTTCAGTGGCAGCTTTTGCATGCGTATCTTCGAATCAATGTAGTTTTATGGGAATATTATAGATCGATATAAATTGTTTTTTCTTGTTTTGTATGCAATATCATTTATTTGTCAGGTTATATGATCATACTTACGCTGTAATATTTGATCACATAATAAGTGCTTTCCATTTGGTGACAGAAGTCGTCACAAGTGTCATTTTATGTTTGTTATTTCACTGAATGTCAATAAAAGATAGAATGATGCTTGTGTCGACTTGTGTCATTAAATGGAAAGCACCTAATGATGATAATTTATGATTACGGACAAATGATGAGATTCGTTACCATACATTCAGTGAACATACACTGAAAAAGAATTGGTAGTTATGCATATTAAGGGACACCGCGCCAATGATCTTGACCTTGACATATGTTGTCAAGGTCATGATTCTGATTAACTGCCTTAACAACTAGGCGGTCTCTTATAGTTTCTGAGATATTTAGACTTAAAGTTTGACAAATGATGTCTCTTTTCTACTGTATCAAACAGAATTTTTTCCTGCTTTAAAATATATTTTATGATTTTTCACGCGAAGTAACTTTTACCCCATCTCCTCCCTGCTTCAAGGACGTACGACTTCACGCGAAGCGACTTTCACCCCACCTCCTTCCATTAGAAAATAAACTCCGATGACCTCGACTTTTAAAATTATTAAGAATAGAACAATTGTTTCGTGGGGTGGGAGTCGCTTCACGTGGAAGTCGTGCGTCCCTAAGCAGGGGAGAAGGTGGGATGAGAGTCGCTTCGCGTGGAAGTCGTGCGCTTCTCAGCAGGGGAGAGGTGGAAGTCGCTTTGCGTGGAAGTCGTGCGCCTCTTGGCAGGGGGGGGGGGGAAGTAGAGTGGACTTCGCTTCTTGTGGAAAATCGTAAAATATATTTTAAAGCAGAAAATTGCTGTTTCATATAGTAGGAAAGAGATATCATTTTTCAAACTATTTTGTTAATAACTTTGTAACGAAGGACGACAGCCTAAAATCTGTTGGAGGTTACTCAGGTCATAATTTTGACAACATATATCAAAGTCAAGTTCATCGGCGCGGTATCTCTTAATATAAATAATTATTACATAAATTAGACCTATAAGTTTAAATATCTCAGAAACTATAAGAGACCGCCACCTAGTTGTTAAGGCAAAGTTACTCAGAATCATGTTAACAACTTAACTAACAGAATCATGTTAACAACGTAACTAACAGAATCATGTTAACACTTAACAACATATGTCAAAGTCAAGGTTATCGGCACGGTGTTCCTTAATATGCGTAATTACCAAAGAATTTTCAACTAATAAGCCTCCGAGATAATATAAAATTTAAAATATTACGTATATATGCAATCTCTCTAGAGCAGTGCTGGGATTTACTTGCACATTTCGGCCGATTTTCAGCTTGGTTCCTGTCCTTTACTTCATCAACCGATCGGCATTTAGGCTGCGCGCGGGTTGATGAAGTAAGAGGCAGGAACCAAGCTGAAAATCAGCCGAAATATGTAAGTAAATTGCTCGGTAGTCTAAAGGCTTAGGACGCTCGCACGGAATGCAAGAGATCCGGGTTCGACTCCCGGCCGAGGCATTATTTTTCGCAATAAGTTTTATTACAGTTTTTAAGTTGGGGAATTTGGGGGGATTATTAATATTTTCAGATTTGATTGCGTTGAAAGTCCGACAACCATATCGGCACGCAATTATCATTTCTGAAATTAATTCATTTAAATGAATTTACAATAGTTCAATATCTTAACGTTCTGACCATTATGGCGCTTCTTAATTTAAAAATTATTATGTTTAACATTAGCGGTCTTTCAATCTTATTATTATGTAAGTAAATCCCTGGACTGCTCTAGAGAACGCTGCTGTTTTTGTAATTTGAAAGACTTTGTACACATGAAAGTGATGATAGCACTATAATCTCTAGAATTTTATTCTTAGCTAGAATAAAATGATAGAAGCTAGTGTTATGAAAATATTATCAAAAAAGTGATTATGTATCAATGATGCCTTTTCTCAATAATTATTTTCATTTCTTTATTCGTAAGATTGTGGATAAAATTAAGGACATACTTGATAGTTTCTTCTTTTAGATATTGTCTCTGTAATATTGTTAGTTCATACTGCATATTTACTTATTTTATTACACTTATCTGTGTATTACAACTCAATCATTTACATCATTTATCAATATTTCTGGATCTGTTGATTTTCAAACGTCATGTTAAAACTCGTACACTGTTTCTTCCTGAACAAAATATACTCCATGCAATGTGTTCCATCAGTTTTTCCTGAATGTTAGCAAAGGAAGAGAGATGTCATAAGTGATCGGTTGTTTAAATTACCGTTAATTCTTTTTAAAATATATATATTTCTCTCGGTCATCACTTGATTTGGAAATGTTACCAGACACAATTACCTTAGTAGTTTCGGTCTGAACTAAAGTATTTTGATCCATCTCCATTTTCATTGCATATAAAATTAAAATGGTGCCATCAGCGAAATCATTATACATATACATTATACATATACAACATATAATTACGAAATCATGACCCTGAGTAATCTCCAACAGGTTTTAGCTGGCGATCGTTATTCGTTAAAAAGTTATTAACAAATAAAATTGACAATATTAACGTATATGTCTAACGTTTTGTTTCTTGTTAAAATGGAATCAAGTAGACAAATTCTCTGCTTTAAAACATAAATTCTCTGCTTTAAAGCAGGGATTCTGTGAACCACCTCATTTCCTCTCCTATATTCAGTTTCTCGTACTGTGTATTATTCGTACTTTCTTGTTGACATTTTTTTGTTAATGTTCGCTATTTCTCTTGGAACTTGTTGGAGGTTACCCAGGACCTTGACCTTGACAACATATGTCAAGGTCAAGGTCCTCGGCGAGATTTAACCTTTTCACAATAATTACCATTATTTTAGCATGTGCCGTACACATACATATGTACAGGTCTAGATAATATTTAAAATAGTTCCATTTCAAATATGTATTTAAAATGGAAATGGCATTTTGCATTTTCTATTTTAAATGTTTTTTGGAAAACCATTTTCATTTTTACATTTGAAATGGAATCTTGTCTATTATTTAACCATTCATAAAATAGGTAAATGGTTTTTCTATGTTTTCACAAATTTTCCTTAGAATCATTGACGTATAAGAAGAACTAAGTCCTGTGATTGGCCAAAGATTTTTATAAATATTCAAATAAACTACAAACTGTAAAGAGAAAATTAATTTCAGATAGTCCATAAATATTGACTCTTAATAAAAAATGAGTGTTTCAGCATTATAATAAAATTATAGTAAAATACTATATACATTTCTAAAAATGTATATTACTCTTAACATCTAATTTTGACCATAACCGGCGCTTTTCATATTAATTTGATTTATTCAAGTAAACGGTCCCGTTTCCAAATCATAATATTGAAAAATTTAAAATATTTCCATCAGAAATACTTTATTTATAATACTGTAGTCAGGGCTTCGAATTCCGTTGAAAATGGATTTCAAACGTAAAATACTTTTATAAAATTTATACCATCTTGGCGGAGTTTTTATGAAAAACTACACAGACTGAAATAAGGTCTTAGAAATTTTTAGTTTTTCGTAGATATTTGTAGTGGGACGTAAAGTAGTGTTATTTATTTGAAAAAAAAACCAAGAAATCCTTCGCCCAAACAACGCCACTTTACGTTTTACATATGAATATCTACGAAAAACTATGGATTTCTGAGACAAACAAATCTCACTCTATGTCTCACTACGAATATCTATGAAAAATTAATAATTTCTAAGATCTTTTATCTCAATCCATATAATTTTTCTGTACTTTTTCGTAAAAATTTTTTTCCGCTATGGCAGGAAAAACCATTTTTGCATCCATTTAATTTCGCAAACCATTTAAAATACTTATTTATCCATTTTATATTTTAAATGGAATTCGAAAGGCATTTTATCCAGCCCTGCATATGTAATATATATGTATATCTGAGATATATGTAGGAAATAGTTTCTTCTTTCATTTGTCTCACCAATACCTTTGTTTTCGTAATATACATTATGTTGATTTACTTGAGAAATATGTAGCAAAAAAAAGATCAATAATCGGTATAAATGGAGGAAATCTTACTTATATCATATGAAAATATAAACTAATTATATATATATATATACATATATATATTTTTTTACTATTACATAAAATATACATATAAAAGACGCTTCAGATCTTAATTATCGCGATTGTTATTTAGTGCAACAATCTATTGTAATTTGTTGATGTAACATGTTATTTGTATGCTGTAGACTGGGGAAAATATGTTTCTTTATCTAGAAAGCGCGAAAAAAGTTTATCGTTTGAGTTTTTGCGTTCAACTTGAGATTCATACATATCAATATATAAAGTACAAATTATAGAGATCGTTATTACTGGGATCTATGTAGCATAGTAACTCGATTCTCCAGTACGGTATGCGATTCTGATTTCTAGACTACAAAGTGCCTCTGTTTATTGGCGTAACGAGCTGCGTGTGGGGCCTCTTGTTGCTCATCTTCAAACTATATTTGTGACAGCTGTCTCATCCAGCGATACAACAAGCAAACCTCCAAACATCGTTAGCACCAAACCCCAACGTATCATCGTACATCAGCCGTCGTCACCCCTACCAGTAATGCGTGCCCCCCGCATCACGACTTGTCGCTTATTAACTAGATTCGTTCCAGTCAACACGTTCATCAGTCAGAATGCCGTCACCATCGTATCGCCGCCCGGTAAATGATGTGGCAGCAAAAAAGTGACTTTGGATTGGACATGCTAATTATATAATACAGCGCTATGTTTCCTCTTTATGACTCCACTTATCTTCTTTCATTTCTCGTGTTTTCTTGAGAAAAATTTGATAGGAACAAAACATAGCACTGTGTTGTTTTTGAAACTTATCAGAAACTAAGCAGATGTTGATGTGTGATGTCCGATATCCTTGTTCGAGTTGCAATGGTGTTAATGGATTTTGTAAATGTTGCATTCTTTTATAAGCTGTATAGCTAGCTTTACTCATGGTGGAAGAAGACAGGTGATACAACGTGCATAAACGCAATTCAGAGCAATCAGTTAGCCAATCAAATTTGGGTCCTAACTTTTGGTCTTATCGTACATCCCTCAAGTTGTCACACAACAGCCAACCAAATTTAGGTATTAAATTTGGTCCTACTGCGCATTTCTCAAATTGTCTCGCCTATCTTTTTCCACCATGGCTTTACTGTTCGATCAATTTATTGATCTTTTTTTTCCATATTCAGTGGATTAACAGATATGTGCGTTGTGTGAATTATTTCCTTTTATATATACCAGTAGAAACCAATTGAATTGAAACTCTTGTAACGTTTCAAGCTGCTTTTTCTCGTGCGTATTCCAGCTTACAGTAGTTATATTTTACTATCATAATGGAGCATGTGGAGCATAAAATATTCCGTATTTTTGATATTTCTTATATGTACCTATGACGCAAAAACATTAGGGAAGCACGCAATTACTACTTTTTCTTTTTTATAAAGCATGCATATTTAGCAAATGTATATATGTACTAAGAGGTTTACCATATTTTCAGGTAAAATGTTACATGCCGTTCAAACTTTAGTACTAGAACATACTAGAACAATGGTGTTATTTTTTTCATGTTCGCAAATATTTTACATTTTGTATATTGCCAAATATCTTTTTATCATCATCACGTTATTTATCCAATCTTTTTATTAGTTCTAGAACGTCCTACATCACAGATGTCATATCTCGAGCACTTTCTTAAAGAAACCACAAGTAGTACACGTCATGGAAGTGTTGACAGTGTGGAAGGTGACATTGAGGACAATCGTGCACCTAGTATTACGAGCAGCAAAAGTAATCTGTCTGAACTTAGTATCGTAAGTATCTCAACATATGTATATTTTATACAGGGTGTTTCAAAATTTGCGCCTGCGAAGTACAAGACGTGATACTTTATGCTAAAACAAAAACTCTTCCCTTTAACAAAATTGCGATAAATAATTTTTGCGCTTATTTATTAACTTCAACCTGCTCTCCTGTAAAAACTACTTATTGGACGCAATTTTGCTAAAGGAAAAAGTTATTTTTTTTTTGTGTTAAAACGAACAACTTTTTCCTGTAGTAAAATTATATTCGATAAATAATTTTTACGTTTACTCGTATAACTTCAACCTGCTCTCCTGTAAAAATTACTTATCAGACGCAATTTTGCAAAAGGAAAAAGTTGTTTCTTTTAGCATAAAATCATGGTTTGTACTCCGCGGATGCGAATTTTGAAACACCCTATATATTTAGAAACGAAAAATAAAGTAAATTATAGTGTTTTGTGTATATATTCACGTGAAAATATTTTACAGTATATCACTCAGTTTTACTTTTCTTTTTTCTTTTTTTTCTCAGGATCCAACTTCGCCATTATCCCATGAACTTCTGAACAAGTCTTCGTCTACTCATGGTCAAATCAATTTACAACCAAAGCCTAAATCACATCAATTTCTCGTACGGACGTTTTCAGCACCGACAAAGTGTAATCATTGCACGTCTTTAATGGTTGGTTTAACGAGGCAAGGAGTCGTATGCGAAGTGTGCGGTTTCGCGTGCCATATGCCTTGTTGCGACAAAGTACCTTCAATGTGTCCTGTACCCCATGATCAAAGTAAGTAATACCATGATTATTCAAGCAGATTCATTTAAAAGATCAAATTTTGTTCAATATCTGGTAAAGCTGGCGAGAGATTTCGGACATATAGATTTTGATATGTGATATCATCTTTTTAACAATCAAAGAACTCAATTAGTTACAACTTTTGCAACTTGAGACGTGCTTGTTTCAGCCAAACGACCACTGGGGATCGATCCTACACGTGGGATAGGTACTGCATACGAAGGATACGTTAAAGTGCCAAAAATGGGTGGTGTCAAAAAGGGTTGGGTGCGTCAATTCGTCGTAGTTTGTGATTTCAAATTATTTCTTTATGACATTTCACCAGATCGCAATGCTTTGCCATCTGTATACGTTTCGCAAGTTCTGGATATGCGAGATGAAGAATTTAGCGTCAGCTCCGTTCGTGATTCCGACGTGATACACGCTACAAAGAAGGACATTCCGTGTATATTTAGGGTAATGTTTCAACGTCTAATTTTAATCGGATCTTAGAAATTTCACTATTTTGTATAAAAAATGAAACAGATAAATCATGTATCATTTTCTGTATTATATATTGGTAAATTTTATTCAGCTTAGCTGCGACAGTGATATATTTTGCGATTCAAGTTCACTGTTTTAATTTCCAACAATAATCTCGTTTCTTTCACTTACTATTCTTGATAATTGAAAGTATTTATGTATTTCTTATGAGTGCGTGTCGTATTTTCAGCAATAATAATACATATTGTTTTTTTTTTTGCTTAGAAGGTCTTGTTTTATAACTTATATAAATTGTCTTGTTTTTTTATTTAGATAACTACGTCATTATTGGAGCCTCCTGGATTGAGAAATCATACGTTAATGTTGGCAGATACGGAGAGCGAAAAAACAAAATGGGTAGTAGCCTTAAGCGAACTTCATAGGATTTTAAAGAGAAACAATCTTCCAAACACAACGGTATATTTTTAGTTAAGAATTAGTATACGATATATTCTTTTTTTCTTGTCTTTATCTTTTCATCTCCTTTTACATCTCTTTCTTTCATAGTTTAACTATTTATCTATTACCAGAAAACAAAATAGCAAATGCCACTTTTTTTTCTTTACGAATATAATACGCCGTTAATACTTATACATCAGTATATTGTGTTTGTTGCTGTAGATTTTTAGAGCGAAAGAACTATTGGACAATACCTTGGCATTCATCAAAAACGTGATGTCAGGAGCAATCATTGATCCGGATCGTCTAGTCATTGGTACAGAGGAAGGTCTCTTCTGCTTAGATTTAGATCGTAGTGGTGAGTAGACTAAGCCGTCTAACTAAGACGATTCTTTATGTCTTAGACTTATCGAGAAATATCATCATCTTTCCTTGTAGATGTTTAAAAGTGCGAGATCTTGTTCGCACGTACAGAAAAAAAGTACAGTTAAGTAAACAATTGTACCTAACGATATGTATAGCTTGGGCATAAATTTTAATGAATTTGTAGAAATTGCGAGAGTCGGGGAAGGAAAAAAGATATATCTTCTTGAATATGTTACGGAGGAACAATTAATAGTGGTATTGAGTGGAAAACAACGTCATGTACGGCTGGTTCCAGTACGTGCCTTGGATGGAGATGAAGTCGAATGGATTAAAGTAGCAGAGACTAAAGGCTGCATCACATTAACAACTGGAGTAGTGCGTCGGAATCCGCTTAATTATTGCTTATGCGTTGCAATAAAAAAACAAGTAAGGCGCGCGATTAGTAACGTATAGTTAAATATAATACAATACATAACTTACAATATGTATGCTACTGTATTTCGAGATGCGTATGTAACGCCATGCAACTTATTTTTTGTAGAACGCGTCTCAAATTATCATCTATGAGATAACACGTACGAAAACAAGACATAAACGCATACGTGAATTAATGTTACCATGTCATGCACAAACCTTACAAATTCTTTCCGAAGGACGCTTGTGCGTTGGTTATCCGTCAGGTTTTTCTATTTACAGCATTTTAGGAGATCATCATCCTATTTGTAAGTATGGTACAAGACAAATTTATCCCCTGTATTCTTGCTCAATTCTATTTTACATCGTAATCAGCACCTCTATCGAACTTTCTTGTACTTACTGCAGCCTTGGTCCACGCTGAGAATACGCTCTTGGGTTTCCTCACCTATAGTGCCGTGGATGCGTTACGTTGCATAGAATTAACACGCGGTGAATTCTTATTAGTCTTCCATACATTAGCAGTATATGTTGATAGTCAGGGAAGAAAGAGTCGAGATCGGGAGATAATGTATCCTGCAGTTCCTACGGCAGTTAGTAAGTACCACGACGTTTCGTTTTTCTTAGCGCCGAGACACTACCATGTCTCCAGATAAACGTCGCGAGTCACATCTATCTGATCATGCTACTCTCGTGCTAGCACGTATATTCTTAGTGTTCGGTTCGATCGTCGAGATGCTTCAAGTATGAATCTTACTTATAGATTCATCCTCGTTGTACTTATGAATCGCGATTTCGAATTCCAGGTTATTGTGAGGGATATCTTTTGGTGTATAGCGAGACTCATATCGACGTGTTTGACTGTACATCTGGAGACTGGTTACAAACGCTTAATGTGAAACGAGCCCGACCGTTGAATATCTCAGGCTCTCTTACGTCTTGCATAATAAATGATATGCCATATGTTATTTATCTCAGCAATCTGCATCAGCGTAAGTATCATGCTTTCCACCTAAGAATCCAGTAGACAACACGATATTTTATTACATATAAAATTATGTAACGAAGAGCCCCTGTTTGATTGGCTACTATTGGATTAATTAGCTATTGTTTAACATTATGCTGTACTCTAGGGGAATTATTAAATTTGCTGCCCTTGGATGCGAGCGGTAGACAAATGACAAGGCCACGACGAAGATTTTCATTACGAGAAGGCAATAGAGCTGTTCGTCCTACAGATAGACGTTCGAAAATGATTTCTGCACCGACAAATTTCAATCATATTAGTCATATGGGTCCAGGAAATGGGATCCAGGTATGTAAAAAGTTTAAATTCTGTAAACGACAATTATTACCATGCGTCATTGCAGACAATACATTGTATAGACGAGTTAGGTTTTAAAAAACAATTTGAAAAAAATCGGTTTGACATTTATTAATCCTAGTACATATATGTTCATTTACGTACATAAAATATATGTACTATTTTACATATAATTTCTTTTATTGTAGATACAACGTTTATTAGATTTGCCTACGACATTGGAAACTGCTGATCAACAACATACGAGTCATCATGGTAGTTCTCATCTTCATAGTAGCCAGCAAAGAGTAAGTAGTGTGAATTACTTGTTTTTCAATGAACGAATAAATCACAATATTAAAAATTGTATTTTAGATTGCATATGTGAGAACATAATACTAGAAATTTAAGGGGATGCTGGAGCCGCCTGTATTACCGATAAAACTAGCGTTTTGATGTTTTTGTTCCTGTCGAATTTCTTCGTAGTGGTTTCACAGAATAAAAATTCTTTTACGATTAAAATGTACATGCTAATGTATTTGTCGCTGACTACGAATCTATTTTTATCTCAGTATGGCGACCAACGCTGAAAGTAAAATGGATAAAGGAATCTATAATTTTTTATTTTTTCCAGCTTTGAACACAAAATACAAATACATTAGCATGTATATTTTAATCGTGGAAAAGGAATTTTTATTCTGTGAAACCACTACGAAGAAATTTGGCAGGAACAAAAACGTCAAAAGCGCTAGTTTTATCGGTACAGGTGACTTTAGCATCTCCTTAAATGCCTATAACGGTCGAAGCTGGATTTTTAATGTTTAAATAATTCAATGTGAATTATACAGGATATTTCATTTTAAGTAATGCATTAAGATTTCTCGAAAACTATGGTAGATACGGAAAAATGTTTCAAACAAAAGTTGTATAGTTCGAAGGGAGACATAAGAAGGTACCATTGATTTGACCTTGGTGGCGTCGCCAAGGCTAGGTCAAGATCACGTCGGTTTAATGGAACCTATTTTCCATTACATTTTCTTGTAGCTTACCTCGAGAGCTTATCAAAACACTATAATAAAATATTTTTTCATTAAATATTTTTCAAGTTATAAGATTCAAAAATTACAGTACAGTCGGCATTAGCATTACGCAAGTTTTCCGACCGACGGCTAAAACCTCTTGAATGTTGTTCAGGATCATATCCTGGATAACATTTGTCAAGATCAAAGCCATTGAAGGTTGTACCTCTTATTTTCATTTTTACGTAAAAATGAATTTTTAGTGTTTTGAAAAGCTCTCGAGATAAGTTACAAGAAAATGTAATGAAAAATAGGGGATTCCATTTAAAAAAATTGACGTGACCTTGATCTGGTCTTGGCGACGCCATTCAAAGTCAAATCAATGGTACCTTTTTATGTCCTTTTATCCCCTTCCGAACCATACAATTTTTGTTTGAAACATTTTTCCGTATCTCATAGTTTTCGAGAATGCATTATTCATGCATTATTTAAAATGGGGCTCTGTGCGTGCGTGCACGTGCGCGTGTGTATACACACTATATATTGTATATGTATATATATATATATGCATATGTATCAATTCGTAGTCATTCGAATTGCGCGCCGAATTGTTTTTCCGGACTTATAAACGCCTCGGTAGTCTAAAGGCTTAGAACGCTCCTATGGAATACAAGAGATCGGGTTTGACTCCCGGCTGAGGTAATATTTTTCGTAATAAATTTCTTTACAGTTTTTCAACGCATTAACATTTTTCTAATATCATACCTGATTGAGCATCAAATTAATTATTATTAAAAAAAATTGCTTGTCAATTTAATTCGTGATATTATTACAGTAGTTTAATTACGTTTATAAGTTCGGAAAAATAATTCGGCGCGCAGTTCGAATGACTACGTATATGGTGTATGCATATGTATGTACATATATAGTATATGGAGTACTCCATGTGAAAGAAGTCCACCTAAAAATAAACTGTTTGGAATCTTTAAAATAATCATGAAAACATGTAAGTGAGGATATATTGTATAATATTGAAGAGATAAAAAAAAAGTATTATATGCCTTGCATTCAAGATTAGAGATAGTCGTTTAAACTTTAAAGGAGTTCCCCTTTTGTTGTAATTTGTTAAAATTACAAAACACAAATTTATTTATACATATGAATTTTTTAGGATTTTACTCGTACTTTCAGATAAAAAAGTTAATTTTAATGAGAAAAATGAATAGTGTGGAAAAAAATCAGTTTTTTAACTTTAAGTAAATAAATAAAAAATTATATCCACTTTTAAAAATCTGAAAAAAATTCTCGAAAATATTCTAATATATGTAAAATATGATGCCGCAAAGGAAATTTTGGGATCGCAATGGGATCCACTAGAAAATGAATTTCCTTTTCTAAGCAAAATTTAAATTTCCATCAAAAACTTGATAATATCATGTTATTAATTAATCTAATTATTTAATATTACATAATACATTTATATAACTAATATATAACTAATTATTCAACACTACGTAATATATTTTTAACATCAGGTTGTCCCAAGAAGGTCGAGACACCTGAATATCTCGGAAAATATAATATTTACAGAAAAGTTTCAGACAAAAGTTGTAGGGTTCAAAAAGATCTATTTACTGATCTGATTTTCGAGACACCTGAATATCTCGGAAAATATAATATTTACAGAAAAGTTTCAGACAAAAGTTGTAGGGTTCAAAAAGATCTATTTACTGATCTGATTAGTTTGACTTTGGGTGGCGTCGCCAAGGTCAAACTGATTTTTTGACCTGACGGTCAAGGTCACATTTTTTAAATGGAACATCCTACTTTTGATTCCAGAATCTATTAGCCGATGTCGAGAGCTTTCCAAAACACTATAAGAAAATATTTTTTCATTAAGTACTTTTTGAGTTATGATGCTTGAAAGTTACAGTACCGTCGATGTTAGCATTATCCAAGATGAACCGATCGACGTTTAAAACCTCTTGAATGTTGTTCAGGATCATGTTTTGGATTACATTTATCAAAATCAAGGCCATTCGAGATTATTCCTCTTATTTTCATTTTTACGTAAAAATAAATTTTTAGTGCAATAATGTGAAAATAAGAGGAATAATCTCCAATGGCCTCGATCTTGAATGTTATCCAGAACATGATCCTAACAACATTCAAAAGGTTTTAGCCATCGGTCAGACACCTTAGGTAATGCTAATGCCGGCGGTACTATAACTTTCAAGCATCATAATTCAAAAAGTACTTAATGAAAAAATAATTTCTTATAGCGCGTTTTGGAAAGTCTTCTACATTAGCTATTAAATTCTGAAATAAAAAGTAAGGTGTTCTATTTAAGAAAATTGATCTGACCTTGACCTGACCTTGGCGACGCCATCCAAGGTCAAACTGATAAGATCAGTAAATAGATCTTTTTAAACCCTACAACTTTTGTCTGAAACACTTTTCTGTAAATATTATATTTTCTGAGATATTCAGGTGTCCCTTCTTGGGACACCCTGTATGTTAAAAATATATTACGTAGTGTTGAGTAATTAGTTATATATTAGTTATATGAATGTATTATGTAGCGTTAAGTAATTAGATTAATTAATAAAGTGATATTATCAAATTTTTGATGGAAATTTAAATTTTGCTTAGGAAAGAAAATTCATTTTTTAGTGGATCCCATTGCGATCCCAAAATTTGCGGCATCATATTCTACATATATTAGAATATTTTCGAGAATTTTTCAGATTTTTAAAAGTGGATCTAATTTTTCATTTATTTACTTAAAGTTAAAAAATTGATTTTTTCCACACTATTCATTTTTTCTCATTAAAATTAACTTTTTTATCTGAAAGTACAGGAAAAATCCTAAAAAGTTCATATGCATAAATATTTTATGTATTTTGTAATTTTAACTACAAATGACAACAAAAGAAGAACTCCTTTAAACGACTATCTCCAATATTTTGGGTGCAAGGCATATAATACTTACTTTTTTATCTTCAACATTATACAATATATCCACTTACATGTTTTTAATGGGATTTTTGAGACTAAATGGGATTTTTAAAACTAAGTAGAAAGTGTCATAGAATGACACTTTCTACTTAGTTTTATATCCAACAGGAAAAGTACATGTTCATTATTATAGTCAATACAGAAAGAAGAAGAATATAGAGTATAAAACGAAAGACATTTTCAGCATCGATACCACAGCGCCGCCGCTCGCCTGCTATTAGTAACAAGATCGAGACTGGATGAAGCACCATTATACCGACACCCCTTCTCGCTGAAATCAGTTCGGTTCTATCGGAGTCCCTAGCAGTTAATTCTAGGAACGCTCCTTAGCCAAAGGCTTCGTGAACAAATCCGCTAGTATTCTTTCTGAGGGGCAGTATCGCATGTGCAGTACCTTCTTCTCTTATAGGTCTCGAATTTGGTGGTAGCAAACATCAATGTGTTTGGTGCGAGCCCCACACCTGCTTGACTCAATTAACCGAATACATCCTTGATTATCTTCATTGATGATGGTTGGTTCTTCTGCAGGGAAACTCATGTCTTTCAGTAGCTGCCTTAGCCAAAGCAATTCTTTACTTGCGTGTGATGCAGCAATATACTCCGCTTCTGTGGAGGAAACTGTTACCGATGTCTGTTTCTTACTTGACCATGCAATGATTTCATCTCCTAGTCGAAAGACGTATCCACTAGTAGACTTCCGGTCAGTCCTATCTCCAGCCCAATCCGCGTCCACAAAACATTCTAGTTTCATTTTTCCCGTTGAAGGCAAGTACAGTTTCTTGTCTAATGTAGATACCCCCAGGTAACGTATCACTCGTTTGGCAGCTTTCCTGTCTTGCTCCGTAGGTTTTTCCACACGGCAACTCAGGATTCCTACTGCTGTGGAAATGTCCGGTCTGGATACTGTAGCTAAATATAATAGCGATCCTATGACTTCCCTGTACTGTGTATTATGCGGTAATGGCATGCTAATGTCTGTATCGGAACCTAAATAGTCAATTTCCATTGGTGTTGCTGCTGGTCTCGTTTCCAGCAATCCATTCTCTTCTAATACTTTGATGATTTTTCCTTTTTGATTAAGCAAAAACGATCCGTCTTTCATGCGTTCCATCTGACTGCCGAGGTAATGACGAACGTCACCTAAGTCCTTAGTGCAGAAATATTTTTGTAGGTCTCTTCCCACTTTGCTAGTTATTATTGAAGATGCGCCAGCCACTAGAAGGTCGTCGACATAAAGCAACACGTAGGTCGTAACATCCTTCCTTTCTTTT